AATAAATAAATAGATAATGGTCCCTTATTAACTCTTTTATGCTGTGCTTACTTCCCTGCTGTTAGCAGGACTTGATTTAAAAGCAGGAAGGCATATCCTGAGAAAACCGTAATTCAAAAAGAGTCATGTACCAAAATGTTCATTGCAGCTCTGTTTACAATAGCCAGGACATGGAAGCAACCTAAGTGTCCATCATCGGATGAATGGATAAAGAAGATGTGGCACATATATACAATGGAATATAACTCAGCCATAAAAAGAAATGAAATTGAGTTATTTGTAGTGAGGTGGATGGACCCAGAGTCTGTCATATAGAGTGAAGTTAAGTCAGAAAGAGAAAAACAAATACCGTATGCTAACACATACATATGGAACCTAAGAAAAAAAAAAAAAGGTCATTAAGAACCTAGGGGTAAGACAGGAATAAAGACACAGACCTACTAGAGAATGGACTTGATGATATGGGGAGGGGGAACGGTAAGCTGTGACAAAGTGAGAGAGTGGCATGGACATATATACACTACCAAACGTAAAATAGATAGCTAGTGGGAAGCAGCCACATAGCACAAGGAGATCAGCTCGGTGCTCTGTGACCACCTAGAGGGGTGGGATAGGGAGGGTGGGAGGGAGGGAGATGCAAGAGGGAAGAGATATGGGGATATATGTATATGTATAACTGATTCACTTTGTTATAAAGCAGAAACTAACACACCATTGTAAAGCAATTATACTCCAATAAAGATGTTAAAAAAATAAATAAATAAAAAATAAAATAAAATAAAAGCAGGAAGAAGACAATGTCAGTATGGAGTCTCCCTGAAAGCAGGAAGGAAGTACTTTGGACTGATTAAGGCCAGCATGACATTCATAGTGGCCAATCTCATTCCAGCTGAGTTAAAGTAATCATTCCAATATTTGCTCCCTGTCAGCCCTTGTCAGGATCCAAAAGAAAACTGAGAAACTGTTCACACATATACACACACACACAGAAAGAAAAAGGCTAATTTATTATAATCTGCTTGTCAAATATCAAGTATTTGTAATACTCCAAAAAATAAATAATCACTGAGCTTCACTAAGTGGTATTAACAAGGCAAAACAACTCCAAAACTTACCAGCACCACCCCCACAAAATTTACCAGACCATACTGAAACTTCCGCTTTTTTTTTGAAACACCTTTATTGGAGTATAATTGCTTTACATTGTTGTTAGTTGCTACTGTATAACAAAGTGAATCAGCTATATGTATAGATATATCCTCATGTCCCCTCCCTCTTGCATCTCCCTCCCACCCTCCCTAACGCACCCCTCTAGGTGGTCACAAAGCACCGAGCTGATCTCCCTGTGCTATGAGGCTGCTTCCCACTAGCTATCTATTTTACATTTGGTAGTGTATATATGTGCATGCCACTCTCTCACTTCGTCCCAGCTTACCCTTCCCCCCGCCCTGTTCTCAAGTCCATTCTCTACATCTGTGTCTTTATAACTTCAGCATTCTTGATCTTCTCCTACCCGACCCTCCACTCCCACTGAGAATGAAATCATCTTGCTATGAAATGTTAAGAGGAAAAAAGATACTGATGGTTTACTAATGACAATTAGTAATATTCTGATGGTTTACTAATCATATATATGTACGCATACACATATATATAGTATTTGTGTATTGAACTTATAAACGTACCTTTGTTCAAGCACATAAATGCCAAAGAAGTCATCTAAAAATAGATTATACAATTCTATACTGTCTACTCACATTTGCCCAGTCTGAATCTTCTCACCATCATAGCCTCCTTCTTAAATAATTAAGTTGACCAACTGTCACCCCCTGTCCCATAAAAGTACTTGGATTCTAATACTTCTATATCTGCATACCTATATCTCACTATATTCTAAAACCTAGGACCCAGCTTGAGCAATGTGGACAGGACAAACAAGAGAAGGGAAAAAGAGAAGGAAGAAAGGATTTTGTAAAAATTTTCACCAAAAACATTTTCACTGACCTTGCCCACAGCTATCAAATATAGCACTCACCTACTCTGAATACTCCAAGTAATACTAACAATTTTAACCTAACCAGCCATAAAAATATCAGGAGTAGCAGTCACCATTTATTAAATGCTTATTCTGTATCAAGCACCATGCTGAGTACCATATGTTATCTCATTTAATCCTTCCTACAACTCTCCAAAGCAGGCTGTAAAAATTTGGAGAGGTTCACTTGCTCAAGTCTACACAGATAGAGGAATCCAGAATCAGATGTATGTCCATCTGTCTCAAGAACCTAAATAAATAAATAAATAAATAAATACTAACCACACTTCTATTTTATTCCACATGCCTTTATTCCTCTCCTTATTACAAGATTAAGAAAACAGAGCATGGGGCTTCCCTGGTGGCGCAGTGGTTAAAAATCTGCCTGCCAATGCAGGGAACACAGGTTCGAGCCCTGGCCTGGGAATATCCCACATGCCGCAGAGCAACTAAGCCTGTGTCACACAACTACTCAGCCTGTGCTCTAGAGCCCGTGAGCCACAACTACTAAGGCTGCATGCCACAACTACTGAAGCCCAGGAGCCTAGAGCCTGTGCTCCACAACAAGAGAAGCCTGCGCACCGCAAGGAAGAGTAGCCCCCGCTCGCAGCAACTAGAGAAAGCCCGCATGCAGCAACGAAGACCCAATGCAGCCAAAAATAAAAATAAATAAAATAAGTAAATTTTAAATAAATAAATAAAAAGAAAGCACAGCATGGACATCCATATGCAAAAAAATGAACCCCGACCTAAACTTTACAACTTACACAAAAATTAACTAGGTCACAGATCTAAATATAAAAAAGCAAAACCATGAAAATTCTAAGGGAAAACATTTGTGACTTGGGGTTAGGCAAAAAGTTCTTATATATGACATCAAAAGTTCAATCCATAAAAGAAAAATTAATAAATTGGACTTCATCGAAATTTAAAACTTTTGCTCTGCAAAAGTCACTGATAAGAGAATGAAGAGATAAGCTACAGACTGGGGAAAATATCTGGAAATCACATATCCTTGAAAGGACTTGTATCCAGAATATATATAAAAGAACTCTCAAAACTCAACAGTAAGAAAACAGTTTTAAGTTGTGTAAAAGATAATACCTCACCAAAGCAGATAAAAGAATGGCAAAAAGGCACATTAAAAAAGATGTTCAGGGCTTCCCTGGTGGCACAGTGGCTGAGAATCCGCCTGCTAACGCAGGGGACACGGGTTCGAGCCCTGGTCTGGGAGGATCCCACATGCCGCGGACCAACTGGGCCCGTGAGCCACAACTACTGAGGCTGCAAGTCTGGAGCCTGTGCTCCACAACAAGAGACCGCAACAGTGAGAGGCCCGTGCACCGCGATGAAGAGGGGCCCCCGCTCACTGCAACTGGAGAAAGCCCTTGTACAGAAACGAAGACCCAACACAGCCAAAAATAAATAAATACATTTAAAAAAAAATGTTCGACATCATTAGCCATTAGAGAAATACAAATTAAAACCACAATAAGAGGGACTTCCCTGGTTGCAGAGTGGTTAAGAATCCGCCTGCTGGGCTTCCCTGGTGGCGCAGTGGTTGAAAGTCCGCCTGCCGATGCAGGGGACACGGGTTCGTGGCCCAGTCTGGGAGGATCCCACATGCCGCGTAGCGGCTGGGCCCGTGAGCCATGGCTGCTGGGCCTGCGCGTCCGGAGACTGCGCTCCACAACGGGAGAGGCCACAACAGTGAAAGGCCCGCGTACCGCAAAAAAAAAAAGCATCTGCCTGCCAATGCAAGGGACACGGGTTTGAACCCTGGTCCGAGAAGATCCCACATGCCACAGAGCAACTAAGCCCATGCACCACAACTACCAAGCCTGCGTTCTAGAGCCCACGAGCCTCAACTAGTGAGCCCAAGTGCTGCAACTAGTGAAGCCCGCACACCTAGAACCTGTGCTCTGCAACAAGAGAAGCCACCACAATGAGAAGCCTGCACACTGCAATGAAGAGTAGCCCCTGCTCGCCGCAACTAGAGAAAGCCCACACACAGCAACGAAGACCCAATGCAGCCAAAAAAAAAAAAAAAAAAAAACAAAAAAAAATACCCCAAAAACAAAAAAAAAAAAAAAAAAAAAAACACAATAACATATCACTACACACTTATTAGAATGGCTAAAATGAAAATGCCAACACCACCAAATGCTGACAAGGGTGCAGAACAATTGGAATTCTCTTATGCTGTTGATGGGAATGCATAGTACAGGCACTCTGAGAAACAGTTTGGTAGTTTCTTATGAAGTTAAACATATACCCACCATATATCCCAGCAATCCCACTCCTGGATATTTACTTTAAAGAAATGAAAACTATGTTCACATAAAAACCTGTACACAGATGTTTATAGTAGTTCTATTCATAACTGCCAAAAACTGAAAACAAATTAATGAGAGGGGACAAATTAGTGAAACATACCACAACTCGGATGAACCTGAAAGCCAAAACCAATCTCAAAAGGTTACATACTGTATGATTCCACTTATATGACATTCTCAGGAAGACAACACTATAGTAACCAAGAAGAGATCAGTGATTGCCAAAGTATGGGGTGAGGAAGAGGTGACTGTAAGAGACAACATGAGGAAGTTTTTGGGGGGAGTAGAGCTCTTCTGTATCCTGATTGTGGTAGGTGGCTACAGAAATCTATACATGCGTTAAAATGCATAAAAATACACCCACAAAGTGCAGAATAGTGTGGATATTAGGATGATCCCTTTGTGTCTTCAACATCCTTTAAAGGATATTTCTGTAACATAGAAACTTATGTGCTTATATGTCTATATATTTTTTGCAGTTCAGAATTAAAAGAAACCGTTAGAAATGGTTCCCTTTTTCAGTGGGAGAAGAGGCTTGTATCTTTCTACTGTTTGAATTATGAGTCATTTTTGTACTCTTCTTTATATTTTTTTCTTTAACTTTTTGTTTTGTTCTGTTTGCTGCTTACCATGGAGCACTTCTCCAGTACTTCCTCCTGGAACTTCAGAAATCGCTCCTGAACCTCAGCTTCATTGAGGAAAAAGGCAAGGAAGTGAGTGAAGGGCTGCTTTCTTCTAAAAGTGAGCAAAAGAACATCAATCCGAGTTCGGGCTGAAATTACACCACTTCGATGCTGGCCAGTGATTACTGTAAGAAAAAAAAAAAAAAGGCAAATATTAAAATGCTCAAGGACCATCAAATGGTTGTAAAATAGGTGACCTCTTGAAACTGTCAGCTCTGGAGAATAAAATTGTCATGAATGTGTACATAATTCTGAACAGGGGACAGTACCAAGGGTAAGAAAGCTGTTAATGAATTCAGTCTAAGCAGAATGAGGTTTAGAAACAGAATAACCTCAAGGCCATCTGATGAAGTAGAGAAATGAGTTCAAAAGCTACAAGCAATCCCTCATACCTTGCTGGTATGAATGTAAAATGGTACAGTTGCCATGGAAAAGTTTGGCAGTTCTTTGAAAAGGTACACAGAAAAATACCATGTGACCCAGGAATTCACTCCTAGATAGAAACTCAAAGGAAGTAAAAACAGGTGTTCAAAGAAAAAACCTGTACAGGGACTTCCCTGGTGGCACAGCAGTTAAGAATCCATCTGCCAATGCAGGGGACACGGGTTCGAGCCCTGGTTCAGGAAGATCCCACATACCACAGAGCAACTAAGCCTGTGCACCACAACTAATAAGCCTGTGCTCTAGAGCCCTCGAACCACAACTACTGAGCCTGCGTGCCACAACTACTGAAGCCCATGTGCCTAGAGACCATGCTCTTCAACAAGAGAAGCCACTGAAATGAGAAGCCCACACACCTCAATGAAGAGTAGCCCCCACTCGCTGCAACTAGAGAAAGCCTGTGCACAGCAACGAAGACACAATGCAGCCAAAAATAAATAAATAAATAAAATTTTAAAACCTGTACAAATGTTCATAGCAGTTCTGTTCACGAGAGCCAAAAGGTGGAAAAACACAAATGTCCATCAACCAATAAGCGAATAAATAAAATGTGGTATTTCCATACACTGAAATACTACTCAGCCAAAAAAAAGGAGTTAAGTATTGATACATGCAAAAACATGGATCAATCCTGAAAACATTGTGCTAAGTTAAACATGCCAGACACAAAGGCCACGTATTGTATGTTTCCACATATAGTAAATACCTAAACAGACAAATTCAGAGAGTCAGAAAGCAGATCAGTGGTAGCCAAGAGCTGGGGAGTAGTGAGGAATGGGGAGTGATTGTTTAATGGGTATGGGGTTTTCTTTTTGGGTGATAAAATGTTCTAGAATTAGACAGTGGTGAAGGTTGCACAACACTGTAAATATACTAAATGCCACTGAATCCAACACTTTAAAGTGGTCTAAATGGTAAATTTTACGTTGTGTATATTCTACCATTTAAAAAAAGAACAATATATCACACAGAAATTAAAATAACAATAAAAAGTTAAGAACAAAAAGAGTGGAGCTCTCTGTCATGTAAATTTTACCTCAATTTTAAAAAATACTGTGGCAGAATTTTTAGTGATTCACTATAGTAAAAGAGCAGAAGAGAGTCTACTACAGTATATACAATCCTACCCTAACTGTATGAAAATATAAGGTTAAAGTAAAAGTTTTATCTATATCTGTATTGTATGTATGAATATCAAATTTCCACGCCTTGGTATAATTTGGTCTTCTTTGGTCTGGGCTGTCTTTACACATATGTAAACGAAAATAGGGGAAAAAGCCACAAAGCCTTAACACCACTGTCTGCAAAGAAAAAAAATCATTTAGGGATTACACAACCTCTGTTTAAGCAGAGATTAAACTTCTAGGTTCCAGAACTGGCAGTGCTTGGTCCAAAACAGAAACTAAGGAAAGGTGCACAAGATAGGAACAATGAACAAAACTGGCATTTTAACAGACTATTTATTAAAGAGGAAAGGACAGACTTCTGAACATAAAATATTGAAGTATTAACTCTAATAATAGCAAAATGTGCTATGTACTTTCAAGACCACAAAGCTTGTTCCTTCCAAGCAACTGCAGAAGTTAGGACAAACAAATGGAATTATTTCTTTAATACTTCCCATTAAAGCACTTGAAACTTTCTAAAGAACAACTATCTATTTCTTAATAAGAATGAAATTATCATACCCATTTCGTTGTAGAGAAACAAGATGGAAATTTCTAAGAAAAGAAGTAAACTGTGAATGAATTAATTAACAGAAAGCCTAAAAACTGTTTGCCTAAGTAAAAAATTGACATAAGTAATAACCAAAAAATGTAAGAAGCTGAGATATGATATTTTCTAATGACATCATTGATATTTTCAAATAGGATCCTTTGAGAATCCAAAAGACTCAGATGCCCAGTGAAGGGAAGTATCCTAGCAGGCATTCAAATAATGTGCTATAGAAATACTGACAAAGGAGGATTCAATGGTAAACTGGGACAAAATTAAGGGAAAGTAGAAATTATAATTATTTCTGCAAGAGACAAAATATGGTGAGAAAATAAAAGGAAAAGGGATGGAGGAGATGGAAGCTTAAAATTCATGTTTATGTTTTATTTCTGTAAAAATTTAGTGCAATATGCTAAATCTATTATTTTCCATTAAGAAGGTGGTTCAGTAGAGAATAAGACTAATAAGACATTTTCATTTTTTAACATAGAAAACTGAAAAGGGCACTTCAAAGGTGCTCAGGCTGATTTCCAGAAAAAGATTCAAAGTTGAGCAAACAATTACTAAAAAGCAAATATGATGAGGTTAGAAATATTCTAAAATATTAGAATATTATATCTGAGAGGACCAGAATTTACATGGCATGGGTCTAAAGACTACAATAAGGGATACAGAGAAAGAAAACAATTAAAGGCATTGATGTGAAACTTTAAAAAAACCAATTGCCTAACTACAATGACAACAACACTTTAAAAGCATCTTCTTACATCCCATTGCCTGAGACTTCAAAACAGACTAGACCAGATCCTTATCTAGAGGACAAATTAAAACCTACTAGATCATTTTCTTCTCTAGTTTCTCTAATTTAGGAGAGGCAAAAGAAAATAACTAATTACAGCATATACCACACCAATGCACCGGCAGTCGTGATTTCACAGCACAACCCAATTTACTGTAAGCAATAAATTTGATTTTTCTATATACTTTACTTCCCTACAAGACCATAACCAGTTTATCCTCTTCTTTTTCAGTTAAATTAGTTCCACTAAATTCTTACTTTTAATGATTAGACACACTTATTTTTCACACTTAAATATTTGTGCTTTCTAAGTCAAAATGGAATCTTAACAACCTGCCTAACCTTTTCTGAATAAGTTTTGGAATGACTCCAGTATCTTAAAATGGCTAAGGTCTCTACATTTATAGCATGTTATAATTTTTACCAAAATAAAAATTATTATCCATCTGTTGCTATATGCATAGAAAAAATGCAGAACAGATTCAACTATTAACAGCAATTATGGCTGAGGTTCATAACACAAGAGACTTCCCTTTATACTTTATATATAATTTCTACAAGTTTTTGTTTTTGAAAGCATGTATTAATTTTTAAATCAGGAAATAAAAAGAAATAAGCTTTAATGCAATTAATAAAATTACTTCAATATTTGTAACTTGAACTTTAACACTTAAGGTAAGACCCAAGTTTTTTTTTTTTTTTTGCGGTACGCAGGCCCCTCACTGTTGTGGCCTCTCCCGTTGTGGAGCGCAGGCTCCGCGGCCATGGCTCACGGGCCCAGTGGCTCCGTGGCATGTGGGATCTTCCCGGACCGGGGCACAAACCCGTGGCCCCTGCATCGGCAGGCGGACTCTCAACCACTGTGCCACCAGGGAACCCCAAGACCCAAGTTTTTTTAACTGTAATTCTAAATATTTATTTCAGTGAGAGTCCTTCAAAAATGTCATTAGGGACTTCCCTGGTGGCACAGTGGTTAAGAATCCACCTGCCAATACAGGGGACACAGGTTCGAGCCCTGGTCCGGGAAGATCCCACATGCCGCGAAGCAACTAAGCCCGTGTGCCACAACTACCGAGCCTGTGCTCTAGAGCCCGTGAACCACAACTACTGAGCCCACATGCCACAACTACTGAAGCCCGTGTGCCTAGAGCCCGTGCTCCACAACAAGAGAAGCCACTGCAATGAGAAGCCCGTGCACTGCAACGAAGAGTAGCCCCTGCTGCTCACCGCAACTAGAGAAAAGCCCGCATGCAGCAACGAAGACCCAACACAGCCAAAAATTAATTAATTAATTAAAAAAAAAAATGTCATTAAAGTCCTAAAGCTAAAGTTTGCTGAAGTTACCAAGGGGCTGGGGAAAATTCTAGCACTTCATTGTCCAAAACAGGAGCCCACACACAGCTAGTTAAATTAAAAGTTAAATGAATTAGAATGAAGCAGTATTTAAAATTCAGTTCCTCAGTCACACTAGCCACATTTCAAGTAATCACAGTCCCGTGTGGCTAGTGGCTCCTGCACTGGACAGTGCAGATACACAACATGTTCACGATCACAGAAAGTTCTCCTGGACAGCACTGCTCTAAAGTCAACTGCTACTTATCCGCCACAGTGATTATTCTTACACAGCACAAAATGAAAAGAGTACTTATTTTTTTCTCCTAAGACTTAATACAACCTATGAGTGATTATGGAAAATGGATTATTGGAGGCTGCTGCACTTATTCGACATTGAAGAAGTCCTACTGCTTTAGGATGAGTTTTTTAAAATTCTGTCCCTCCAGTGCCTCTCACTCAAAGCCACTTTACAACACAAGCCTATGCCCTTGGTTCACATTGTTGCTTTAGTACAGACACTTTCTGATGTAATTTCTATTGCTAAACTACTCTTCCTCACCTGACCAGTTATTTGAATCAGGTTGTTGTTTTAATTATTATTCTTACTATTTCCTTCCTAGTCTACAAAGCAAGATAAAAACAAGAGAACAATATGGAAAGGTCTGAACTTTATTTCAAATTTGCTGATCCCACTGGTTTTCTCTAATTCTAACTTGAAATAATTCACAACTTCATTTCAAGCTACTGAAGCATGAAAGAAATTTCCTCGTCCACAACAAAATCTGGAAGCTTTATTCCATCAGTGCGTGGTGAAGTATAAAATTAAGGCCCAGGTACTTAATCAAGTTAAGGTTGTATGACTACATCTTTCTTCATTTGGGAGACTGACACTGATATAAAAAGGCCAATAGCTACAGAACCACATAAAGAATATAGTCACCAAACACCTCAGTTGGGTCACATTATCCCATACACACACACAAGTGATTCCAAATATAACATATATATTGGGTCTCACCAATTTCTCCTTCTTGTCCAGGCTTAGGAATGCTTATGGAAGTTTTGGTCTCCACTTCTAGTTTCTTCCTAGTGTCGCCCCTCTTTCCAACTATATGCCTATAATATAAAGAAAATTAATTAACGTAAATCAAAATGTTCAAGAATAAAGAACTCCATCATGTTTAAATCATACGTGGCCAGAGACACTCCCTCATAGAAAAGTGCTTCAGTAAAAACTCAGTATCTGTAGGGGAAATTACAAATCATACAGCTTTACAGAACATACTGCATTACACTCATTGGCAAAATGATATCCTACAGCCAATTCAACCACATAGAAAGAATAACTATGCTCAATGCCTGCTTGCTTCTCAAAACTATATTCAGAGACTTCCCTGGTGGTGCAGTGGTTAAGAATCCGCCTGCCAATGCAGGGGACACAGGTTCGAGCCCTGGTCCAGGAAGATCCCACATGCCGCGGAGCAACCAAGCCTGTGCGCCACAACTACTGAGCCTGGGCTCTAGAGCCCGCGAGCCACAACTACTGAAGCCCACGCGCCACAACTACTGAAGCCCACGTGCCTAGAGCCCATGCTCCACAACAAGAGAAGCCACCACAACGAAAAGTAGCCCCCACTCGCCACAAGTAGAGAAAGCCCGCGGGCACCAACAAAGACCTAACACAGCCAAAAATAAATAAATAAATAAAAAACTATATTCAAAATCTGGGTCTGCAGTTCAGTGAAAGGAAAGCTGGCACAGTCTCACAGGGCACTTGACTGGGTCTACAGTTTGAAGGGGGAAAACCTCGTTCTCTTAGAGAGCAAATTAACTACATTATGAGTTCATCCTAAGGGAATTATCCTTGATTAATTAAACAAAGGTAAAGAGCTTAGCAAAGAGCAGGGTTCACCAGTCAGGACAGATTCAAGCACAGAGAGTAAAGAGGTAATCCTCAGGTTGAATTCAAACACATAGGCATGTTTTGTTTGGGAGAGTTCACCTAAAAATTGGGAAATTTTACCTAAAAATATAGATTTCTAAGTTCTTTTGAAAAATTGGGAGATCTGACTACTCATGGCAAAAATAGGCTGGAACATGAGCGCGTTCCTAAAAATGGAATATGAGCTCATCACAAACCCTGTCCCTCCCTACTGTCTTTCACTGACTGCACCTCAATCATCTGCTGGCTCATTTGCATTACTTGCCTGGGCCTCCTAGCATAAATAATTCTGACAATCCAAGGTTATCTTCTGAAACCCACAGTAATTAGATGTGTTAAAGCAAATGAGACTGCCGGATCCCAGGAGAAAAGTTTCTGAGTCTATAAAGCACCAAGAGACCATCACAGGACCATAAAGTTAAGAGATAAAACTTCCTCATCAACAGTATTTCAGCTTCTATGATTTCAATTACAGTATCCAACAGCATGGGTGACTATGTCTAAAACTCTGCATTTGTTTTTTACATGGGGATAACCAAGCCCGGTTATTTCCATTAAGGTCTACTGTAGTAAGCCAGATTTTTATAAAACAAGATGTTTAGAAGAGGACGAGAACTCCACAGTTTCAATGTGGTTTTTCTCTGTGTTGGGCTAGGGACTGTGCAGCACCAACTCCATCAGGCCCTTGCCTTTCCAGGCCTTATCAACAAGCGGAGCTTTCAACCAGGCTCCTGTTTGTTAGCACGTGGCTAGTGGACAAACTTACCCTAAGTAGTTGGCTCAAACTGTTATTAATAGTCCAGGCACCTTAGGGAAGTGATTGAGGTTAAAGACGCTTTAGAATCAAACCTTGGGCAAGTCATTTAACCACTCTAAACCTATTTCCTCACTTATAAAAATGGAGTGAATAATACCTAAGTAACATAAGGTTGTTTTAAGGATTAAATGTGATCATATATAAAAGGGCTTCCTAGTGACTGACACATAGCTCAGTACAGCCCATGCCATCCTCATTAAGCCCATGACAGCATCCTTACAGTTAAGAGTACCAGACCCAAAAGAGGTTTACATGGAAAGTCTAAAACACTCACTACAATAAAAGATATGCAGTGAAAGGGTGACTCCTTTATTGAATATGTAAGTGGAAATTCCTGCCAGATCAAGTGGTTCTCAATCTTGGCTACACACTGGAATCACCTGGGGGGCTACAAAAACTAATGATGCCTGGGTTCAGCTCCCAGAGATTTGGACTCAACTGGTCTGGGGTGCACCTAGGTATCAGGAATTTTTAAAGCTCCCCAGGAGCTTTAAATGTGCACCTGAAGTTGAGAACCACAGTATTAGATCCAGTCCGTGGACACGTGTATCACCATTAGGCTTTGATTATAAATTACTTTGGTTAAGTAATCTCTTCCTTGATCCAAATAACCTTACATAAATGATTCATAAGAAAGAAATCTTCCTTGTATGACAATTGTTTCTCAATAAGACAGGAAAGGAGGAAGGGAGGAAGGAGTCTTCCTAGTAAATACTGTCTATTAATTAGGATTTAGCAGAACCAATACCTAATCTAAATTGCAAGTCATCTGGAACAAAATGAGTACTTAGAATATATAGAATTCAAAAGGTCATCAAGTTAGAATCAGATATTTAAGGAATCTTTACACACCTTAGCAGTAGCAAATATATACATTAAGGAAGACATGTTGCATTGATTTTATCAGGAACCTGAGCCACAACTTTCTAAAATCATGTTTCTTAGAAGAAAATGTCACCAGAACCTGAGAGAAAAGTGAGCTGTCAGGATTAACATCTGGTTTCGCATTCAGCCACATTCCATAAGAATTTCATCCTTAACAGGTGTTTCAGAAGATCCTCAAGGTTGACAAAAATGAAACTACTTGCCTCTTGGAGCTTAAAGGTATATGATTCCATATTTGTAGATCTCCTCTCATAGAGGATCAAGGACAGACTTTATTCATCTGGTACAACACAGAAAAAAAATCTATGACTTCCCAGACCAGCCTATCTCCAGAGGCACAAGCCCAAAAGAAGCCAGTCAGCCACATAAGCTAACCGTATTAGTGGTTAATAAGAGACAGAATGTGGTCCATCACGCAAGCAAGCAAGCACAGACTGAAGGGATGGCAAAGCTTCCAAGCAATTTACATATAACGATAACTCTGGAAAAAGCACATCAGTATTTGACAAGCATTGGAGAATAACAGGACACATTCCTACCTTCAAGAAGCTTCCCATCTAGTGGGAAAAATATCAAATAGCACACAAATAAATATAAACATAAGACTGAGAAATGCTACAAAGGAAAAGTAGAGGGTGTTATGAAAACGTATAGTAGGGTAACCAATGTGGCGGTGGGGATGTCGGTGTCAAAGCAAGCTTCCCTAAGGAAGGAGAATAAAACTAGCTAAGGAACAGGAGAGATTGAAAGGCAAAGGAACAGCATATGCCAAGGCTCAAAGGCAGGAAGGAACACGGCACATGTGAAAAACTGAAGAAAACCAGTTAAGCTTAAGTGCGAAGCCAGGGAAACAGTGGTGTGAACTGAGACTGAAAAATCAAGGCTGGCTAACTCATGTTCAAGATTTTGGCCACTGCTCTAATGGAGGAGAATTCCATCTTCAGAGGAAGGATGTTAATGGATTTCAAGCAAAGGTAGTAAAATAATCAGGTTTGCCTTTTAAAGAGATCATTCCGCCCTCAATGTGAAGAACTGATTGGAAGAGAGAGCAAGAATCAATGTGGAGAGACCAGTAAGTAGGCTACTTGAAGTAATTCACAGACAAGGCAGCAGGGTGGCTGTAAAGAAAGAGATAAGTAGATTCAAAAGATATTTAAGAAGCAAAATCAACAGGACTTGGTGACATATGTGAAATGATGAAACTGATCTACAATCAGTCCTTAGAAATTCTAGGACATTAAACACTAAACCATTTTACCACTAGTAATCAAGCATTGCAATAAGTGTGGAAAAGAGAAGAATCTACTTCCTGCTATGTTTCCTAGAAATGCCTTCCCATGAAGCTGCCGGGGGCCTCACTCACTTGTAGAGCAGGCTGGGGGCCTTCAGAGTACACCGGAAACCTTGCGGGGTCTGCACCACCTCATAGCCTTCACAGGACTCTTCTGCACACTCCACGAGACCTGTAGAGAAATGGTAACATCTCGCTCAGAGCTGCTGCTCTATGGACAACAGTCTGCTTTCTCACCAGCTGTCCAACCACTCTCAAGGTTTAAAAAAAGCAATACACACACAAAAAAAACAGTCATACACTTTACACTACAGAACACTGCTCTGATATTCCTTCTGACCTGCTCTTAGAAGAAAAATAAAGAATAAAAAATACATGACTATTTTAAATCTTCCAATCTTGGAACCGTGGAAAAGGAGTATTTACATATCACTATTTAACTGTTTTCTCCCAGAAAGCTAAGAAAGTAAAATTTTTTGTACTGTTTTTTCTTTTGGAGATGTGTTTCATGTAACATAAAACTCATCCTCTTAAAATGTACAACTCAGTGGTTTTTAGTATTAAAACACAAAATCACTTCAGTGAATGAGGTAGGAGTGATACTGGAGAACTTACTCCATACAGCCAAGACAAAGAGAAAGGAGGAGGGTGAAATAAAGGAGCTCAAGGCCCCAAGGCAAAAGGGAAACAGCGGGGGAGGACCAAGGGGAAGACTATTCCCCAAGGTTTAGGGCCTAATGGAAAAGCTTACAAACCGAAAGGAAAAGGAAGCAGAGAACCTGAAAGGCCCTATTTGTGCATTAAACCCAAGTCCAAGTTAATCAGCCTGAAAATATTGCCCATCTCAACGGTTTAGTTTACTTCTTAAAAATTACCCCTATTTTAAGTAGTAATAATGTTGGTTGTGTATTTGAAACTGCCTGTATATGACTGCAAAGAAGAAAAGAAAAATTACAACACAACAGTAATAATAACAACAGCTAACACTGGGCACATGTTCATTTATTTCAATAATTTATAGAAATTACTTCATAGCTTTACAGATAAAAGAACTTCATTTTGCCACAGATTATTAATGGTTAATATTAAGTTAACTAAAATTACCCCATATTACATTTAAGCCTCGGCACAAAGATGAGACACAACCTGATGTATGAAGTGAGAACACCTCATCAAACTCACTCATCTGTCCCCTCAGACGTCAACACAAAGGGAGCTATAAGAGGCTAAACATCTCAAATTTCAGTGCTCACACAGAAATACACTGAAACAAAGAATTGCTTCTACAATACGGAGAACATTTTACTTCTAATCTGACCAAAGATCAACCAGGATTACCTTGATAACAGTCATCATCTTCGTCTTCATGTTGATAAGTCTGCTCTTGGATGGGATTCTTCCTGTAAACCCGTCCACCAATTCTTATAAGCTGTGGACGCAGAACTTCCATGATACTTTCTCCAAACAACAGTCCTGTGGAATACTGAAAAATAAACCATCACCTTACCTTTTGTTTTAATCATAAAACCCTACCTCTATTATGTGGATCTTTAAGCCTAAAAGGACATAATTGGGCATCAGTTCACAGTACATCCTAAGCAAATGCAGCATTGTTTCCACTAGATTTCCCCTATCTAGAAGCTGTTTTAAATCAATTGCTGCATTTTCCACTACACTACTCCACTCCTGGCACACTCTAGACAGTAATTCGTAAGCTATTCAGTATTCCCCAAAAAAATGATTAAAAGATACTGAGCCCATCCATGACTTTGAAAGAGAAACTAGAGATCTCTTCATTACTTTAACCTAAAGAGAGTAAAATGCAACCTTCTGTGCTTATCTAAACATTTGCAAAGTGTCCTACCCTCACTTACTTAGCACGACTTTTAAGAGAATTAGGGATATTTAAAACACTTATCCTCAAGGGGAGGACATAAAAACCCCTAAATTCTTTTAGAGGTGCTAGAAATATATACCCAACAATTAGATCCAGTTGCCTATCAAAACAAAGTTAAAATATGACTTAACCAACATGGTTCTCTAAACCAACACATTGCTGAGGGGAGGAATCCGATTTCCGTAGGTAACTGCTCAAAAACTGTACATCACTCACAGAGAAGCCAAGTTTCCAGTCACCATTTAATGAATCAGTAATTTAGGAAACAAAGGTTCCTTACGGGTTAGCTGTGGTTATTTTTAACCAGTGTTTCTACCACGTATGTTAGATGGTCTTGAAGTTCAAAATAAAAGAGTTCCCCCCCAAAAAATCAATCTTTACTAAATACACTAATGCTCAATCCAATCTCAGCAAGTAAGTCACTTTAATTGGTAATCTGCTTACAGAACCAAGAGATTTCGTGTTGTGAAAAATGACAATATAAAAGGTAAACAGACTTGAATGTCGGAAGAGGGGGCATAATTAGCAATAGTTTAATGACATTATACCCTAGTGCCCAACTTCCCAGGACCTCTCACACACAAAAAAAACCTCTCCACAAAAACAGACTTTAGGGCTTCCAGGGCTTCCCTGGTGGCGCAGTGTTTGAGAGTCCGCCTGCCGATGCAGGGGACGCGGGTTCGTGCCCCGGTCCGGGAGGATCCCGCAGGCCGCGGAGCGGCTGGGCCCGTGAGCCATGGCCACTGGGCCTGCGCGTCCGGAGCCTATGCTCCGCAGCGGGAGAGGCCGCAGCGGTGAGAGGCCCGCGTACAGCAAAAGAAACAAACAAAAAAAAAACCAGACTTTAATGTTAAGGTCGGGCCTCAGACTGAGCTCTGGGGGGAGATAGGGTTGTCTCAGAGACAGGAAACCCTTCATCTGCCTTTCCTCTACGGCCCTGGGCTACGAGGCTGCTCATTAGGAATGACGGGAAAATAACCAATTTCACCCTGCTTCGCGGTGGTTTGGAAAGAGAAAGAGAGACGAAAGCAGAAGGCCTGCAATGTCGTGGGGGGAAAATGAAACCCTGAATCATAAAAGCGAGCAAAATAAAACGAGTACGTCAAAGCGAGCGAAGAGAAACTGGCTCCACTGCGGTAAGAAAACCTCCGTAGGCACAGCAAGCGAAAGACCCGGAAGGCCTCTTCGAGAACGCGTTCCCAGAGCCTCTCCGCCCCGACCACGCCCACCATTGCACGGGCACGCGCACGCCGCGGCCTCGAGCACGCCGCCGCTCTCGTCGCAGTAAACGCGGCCGCTCCGGTTGGCCTTGGGGGCGGGGCTGTAGAGGAACTTGCCAAAGCCGCAGAGGTAAGTGGTCGAGGGCTCAGGGACCCTCGGGAGCTTGGTGGAAAGGGAGTTGATCCCTGGGATCCTACCTGCAGGGGCTAGTAAAATGGAGAAAGTAGGTGGAGAAACAGGAGCCTGCCGCAGAGGGCGTGTAAGAGGAAATTTCCTCAGGCCGCACCTGACTAGTGCGCATGCGGACCGAAGGTTGGCGCCTGCGCAGTGGGGCGGCGCCGATGTCGCCTCCTGGGGACCGGGGTCGGGGGCTGAACCGCTGGCATTCTGACCCCTCCGCTCTTCTGCCCCTTTCTTTCCCCCCGACCTGTTTTTAGCTGCAGCATCTTTTTGAATGGTAATCCAGCTCTTTGGAATGACTTCTTGATGATGGAGTTTAATGATTGCTTGTAATAATTTGCCATTGTACCAGGGTACTTCCTTCAGCGTCTTTTTGATACGGAGACTTTTTCAAAAGGAAGGATTCTTTTTAAGAACATAAGCTTGTATCTGCTAGGAAGGAAAGTAGTTTATGAATACGAGGTCATCCCTATCATACATGAAGTAAATGTGTTGATCATCTTATCACTGTGAACACAACCATGCTGTGTCCCCCAAATAGCATTGCTCTCCTATAAGAATCTCTACTGCCAATAGTTCTGACTTCCTTGATAGGGTCAAATACTTCATCATCAGTATTTAAACATTCAAAAAAATTTTACTGAGCACCTACCTTAGGCTTGGCAGCCTAATGGGAGAAACAGTTGTGTAAATAGATCCGCAGAATAAGGAAGAAAAAGAAAACGGTAATGGACCAACCCTCATGACACCAAGCTTCTTTATCCCCTGCATAACCTTTGCTGAGCTGCTAGCTCTGTGTTCTGTTATTTGTTCATCATTCATTCAGGAAACATTGATCCAGGTTCTGTGCTAGGCTTTGAGGGTAGAAAGACAACTCTTTCCCCTTTTCCTAAGAAAGGGGTTCTTCCTAAGATCTTGAACCTTAAAGTGAAAGTGTGGAGTGCATTTTCCCTCTTCCTGAGCAGGCCCTTTCTCCTCTAGGGTTCATTTGACATTGACACTCTATGTCAAATAGAAAGAATTAGGACTTTTCCCATGAGTAAGTGTGTTGAAACATAAGTATGAAAAACTGGGATCTGCAGAGGAAAAAAAAGATTCAGGAGTAAATATCCATCAGTGATTTTGGATAGCTAATATTAAGTATTTACTGTCCCTATAACTGTTCCAAATGCTTTAGTTATATTAACCTTCCTGACACCTCTGGTGTAGGTACTATCATTATCCCCATTTTAGAGACGAGGCAACTGAGAAGCAGAGAGGTTAAGTGATTTGTCCAAAGTCATACAGCAAGTTAAGTAAAAAAACCAGGACATGAACCTAGGCCAAGAGGCTTCAGAGTCTGAGCCCTTAACCAGTATGCTATTTTACCTCTCACATAGCACATGACCTGCCAATAAAGCCATTGCTTAAAAAATGGCACGGCAGATAAGCTTAAAGTCCCTACACCTCAGTTTTGTTTTGTCATCTGTAAAATGGGGGAATCGGATTAGATGACCTTTAAGGAATCTTGTGATTCCTGTGAAATGTTTAACTCATTTAGCAAACATTTATTTAAATCAGCAGCTACTTAGTATAGGCCAAGCATAATGTTTGGTTCTGGTGATCAGAATGCCTGCCTTCATAGAGAAGTTACAAACTAGTGTTTATTGTTGGTTTCACTTTAACTCCTGTTACCACCTGCTGGTAGCATGCAAAATTTAACCTAAATCTTTAAAGCTAGAAATTACTTAGGTGTATCTTTCCACCTCAGCAGAAAACTGCTTATTTATGTTAAAGTTAGTGCTAATTCTGCACTCCACTTTTCAACCCTCGCTGTTTTGTGTATTTTTTTTTATATCTTCTAATTCCTGTACCTTTTTTTAAAATAAATTTATTTATTTTATTTTTGGCTGTGCTGGGTCTTCGTTGCTGCACGCAGGCTTTCTCTAGTCGCGTTGAGTGGGCTTCTCACCACGGTGGCTTCTCTTGTTGCGGAGCATGGACTCTAGGCACGTGGGCTCAGTAGCTGTGGCTCAAGGGCTCTAGAGTGCAGGCTCAGTAGTTGTGGCACATGGGCTTACTTACTCCATGGCATGTGGTATCTTCCAGGACCAGGGTTCAAACACATGTCCCCTGCATTGGAAGGTGGATTCTTAACCACTGTGCCACCAGGGAAGCCCTGTTTTTTGTATTGAATGATAGTAGTTCTGAGTTTGCAGGAAGACTACAGTATTCTTTTTAGAAAACATAAACTTTTTAGAATCTTTTGTAAATGTGTAGTATAAGCTTCTGTTTTGAACTTTTTTAAGGAGTTGTGTATTCGGTACAGATTTTTCTCATTTACATTTTGACTTTTTGATTTTTTGATGTGACATAATATCAAACACTCACCATTCCTCTAATTCCTAACAGGCCTTGAATTCTAAGATCATTCCTGAACTATTAATATTTTGTTCCAGTTTTGGGCCGCCACCAAGTGATCAATTTGGGTATTACATTTGAATGAAAAAGTGGGGTTTTTTTGTTTTTTAGGTTTTTTTTAAATGAAAGGGCCAATATGTATTTCCTAACCAATTCCCCTTCCTTGGGAACAGAACACACTGTTATTCTGGAATTTTATTTGGAAAATTTTATAAGTGAATTTCTTGGTGTGGTTGGGTCAGGATGTGTCCAAGACAAACTATCCTATGAGGCATGGTTGTTTTATCCTCATATAATTCATTTCCTCAGTTAAATTGCTACCTTGGCACTGCCGTATCACCACTTCATAACCCATAAATCACCCACAGTCAATCCCAAGTGACAAAAACAGTTTGCTAATGGTAGGAAGTAGTGTTTCGAGTAGAAAACCTAAGAATAAACATATTTTCACTTAAAATCCTGAGTGACATTTTGGCCTGAGGCATCAGTAAAAGATCGTGGAGTACAGAGGGTAGAAAAAATTGGAGCTAATTCTTGACTAAACTGTATGTTGGCTTTTATGGCAGCTAGAATGAAATGTTGTCAATCTCACTTCCATAAACTTGCCAATTGCTGTTTTTCTTTCTCTGTAGTGAAGTGAGAATTCTACTAGAGAGGAGATGGCTGCCTCTTCATCATCCTCCTCAGCCGGTGGGGTCAGTGGAAGTTCTGTCACTGGATCTGGTTTCAGTGTCTCAGACCTTGCCCCACCACGGAAAGCCCTTTTCACCTACCCCAAAGGAGCTGGAGAGATGTTAGAAGGTGATCTCATGCTGCTTTTTGCTGAATAATTGGATTCAGACCTGCTATGAATATTAATTGTAAAGAAGCTATTAAGTGGATTAGAGACAAGTTTGCCCTGATTTCAGCTCCACATTTCATTTCTTGTCCCCATTTCAAAATAATATCTTTAAAACATAAATCTTTCTCTAAAATCAGAATTTTGGAGCTGAAAAAGACTTTGGAAATCAAGGAGGTCATCTAGTTATTTAGACCCAGAAAAGATAAAGTAATTTGACCATGTGAAAGGACAAAATCAGCACTGGAACGAGGAATTCTGTTGACCTCCTGCTCCAGTGTGCTTTATCTTGGCACCAGTCTGCTTCCCTATGGTTGGTAGGTTTGATATATTTTTTTCTAATATAATTCATCGACAGATAGATTAAGAGATCCTGAGAGGAAATAAAAACCAATTTACTACTCTTGTATGTGAAGATGACTCTCCTGGCCCTGGCCCAGGCCCATTGCAGGGCAGTGCTGTGCGGTTTTTCTAGCACTGGAGCTGGATTTGCATCAAATCATCCCCCATCTTATTCAGCACACATTTGCAAACTGGCTGGCCAAGATCGGGGCACAGGCTGTAAGCATGAAACAGCATTGGTTCCTAGAATTTATCAGATTCATGTCATTTTAGGATCTGGACCAATAAATTCTTAATAGGGAGCATAAAAATCACCAGAAGAGCTTATTTAAAGTATACCTTTCTTGGGCTTCCCTGGTGGCGCAGTGGTTGAGACTCTGCCTGCCAATGCAGGGGACACGGGTTCGAGCCCTGGCCTGGGAAGATCCCACATGCCGCGGAGCAGCTAGGCCCATGAGCCACAACTACTGAGCCTGCGCTCCGCAACAAGAGAGGCCGCGATAGTGAGTGGCCCCCGCGGGCTTCCATGTTGGTGCAGTGGTTGAGAGTCCGCCTGCCGATGCAGGGCCGCTGGGCCTGCGCGTCCGGAGCCTGTGCTCCGCAACGGGAGAGGCCCCCAACAGTGAGAGGCCCGCGTACCACAAAAAAAAAAAAAAGAGTGGCCCCCGCTCGCCGCAACTAGAGAAAGCCCTCGCACAGAAACGAAGACCCAGCACAGTCAAAAATAAATAAATAAAATACTGAATACATAACTACTTTAAAAAAATAATAATAATAATAAAAAATAAAGTGTACCTTTCTGGCTTACCTTAGAGATTCCAAATCAGTGTAGGTTACAGCACAGGAATCTCCATTTTGACCAACATCCAGGGGATTCTCATGAAAATGGTCCTTAACTGTTAAACTATTCATCATACCTTTTGAAAAAAATTAGCAAAGAACCTATCAAGGATTCAAAACCTACTTGATTCTAGCACATCTGTGCTTAATTATATATTGATCTTTTTTGCTTTAAATATTGCAAATTTCAGTAAGTATATTTAAAAATCTGGAAATGTCTTGAGAAAGGTACAAACTGTAGTTAAGAGTCGGCTTTTTGGGGTAATCTTTATTCATTTATATCAGGTATAATAAAAAGCAGAGGTTTGGATTAAGCCAGGACAAACAGAAGAATCATTTGTGACAGGAAAACTTGGGAAGACTGGAACCATAAGGCTTTTTAGAATTGGTTCAAGTCATGATTAGTAGACAACTGAATACTCAAGCTAGCATCACTGAGTCTGGAGGTAGTGAATATTTGGTGCCTTGTTTACCATATTTGGCGCTAAAAATAAATTATGACTTCACTTATATGCAGCAGAGACCTGGTATTAAGGATGCTTCCCACAAAACAAACCAGAAGTTGGAGGAACTTAAATTGCTTAATGAGTTTTGTAGCAGCAGAAGAGGAATCATCATTTAACAATGGACCCTAAGATTGAAGTCATTTAAATTCTAGCTACAGGAGGAATTTAATACAGGAGGTACCTCCTTGGTCTCAAAGCTATCAGCATTCTTGGTCAGTGTACACCAGATTACTTGGAAACACTAAAGAAGAAAGGCTTCTAAAATTACTCTAAATGTTGATATTCTAACAAGTTATAGTTCTATCCACTTCTATTCCATCCCATTATGCTTCATGGGGGACTGTGTTGCCTTTCTATTGTAGAATGAATTTAAATTAAGTTTAAATTCACAGTGCACAGTTTTGATTCTCTTCCTCGGGTTTAAAGTTTCCCCTACATTTTAAAGCTGCTTACATTTAAGGACAGACTATGAAAACTTAGAGATGGTAGTCCTTGAACTATCCTGGTCAAATGAAGAATGTTAAATTGAAAAGAGTACCCTTAAATGTGAGTTAATAAGGATGCTAGTTTGGAAGCATCATCTACCATGTTTATAGGTGATACTATTATGCAAGTAATCTAACACACACGAACCTGACCATTTTTCTTACGGTAGTTTAATCGAATACAGGCAAAGCGTGTTTTGTTGGGCTTCGCAGAAACTGTGTTTTTTTTTTTTTTTTTTACAAATTGAAGATTTGTGGCAACCTTGCTTTGAACAAGTCTGTTGGCGCCATTTTTTCAACAGCACTTTGTGTCTCTGTGTCACATTTTGGTAATTCTCACAATATTTCAAACCCCCCATCAACAGAAAGATTACAATTCACTGAAGGCTCAATGATGGTTAGCATTTTTTAGCAATAAAGTATTTTTTAATTAAGGTACATACATTGTTTTTTTAGACATAATGCTATTGCACACTTAATAGACTACAGTATGGTATAAACATAACTTTTCTATGCAAGGGGAAACCAAAAAATTAGTGTGACTTGCCTTATTGCAGTTGTCTGGAATCGAGCCCACAATATCTCTGAGATATGCCTGTGTGAAAATAGAGAAGGAATAGTTGCCTCTTCAGAGTAAGGAACAAAAGCAATTAGGAATCAAGGTTGAATGCTGTCTATAATCTTAACAGGTTAATCTGATCTTGCGCCCTCCTAAGTCTAGGATAATAAACCCAAATAACCTTGTGAATTAACTTTTTTGTGTACCTGCTCTTTGATAACAGACATCTCACATAAGCAGTATACTGTACAGGACTTTTCAGCATTCCCCTGCCCTTGGCTAGGATTGTCCTCACCCAGTTATTAGTAAGCAAATTAGAGACTGCCTTCCAGCCCAAAAGTGGCTGAATTTTAGTAACATTGTAGGCCACTGAAGCATAAATTATCTGCCGTTGTCTATTTTCCTGCTGTGAGGTAATATTCTTTTAAATGAATTTGTTAGCATCCTATTTATTGGAGTTGGCAATGGTGTTAGATTTGGACAATTTACTGAACTTTTCACCATTTATAACCTTTACTTGTCCCTTAAGAGGAAAGCTGATGTATTGCTACTTGGTGTGTTACAAAGGGTTTGATTACAATTTCTAAATGGAAGACAGATTGCGCCAGGCTGACTCCTCTGGAGAAATTCCAGGCTTTAGATTGGTACAGATATCACATCTAATAGGATGTGGCTAAGAAGCAGTAGACTTTGTGGTTAACACAGAGCTGCAAATCAGCAAAAGTGTGTTCCGCAGACATATAGAGTGGAAAAGTGATATGCAGGTGCCTTTTTGAAAGATTAGCTTACATCCTTTTGCTTTGAAGTTCATTACCAAGGGAAATATGCAAATGTTATAATTTAAGCATTTATCCTAATAACACCTGTGATTAAATGTAAGTGGGAGGTAGCACTTGCAAGAGCTTCCAAACAAATCTTGGCCTGGTCCTAACAGCCAGAATCCCCGCTGCCTTGTGTGAGATCCTAAAGTTCAGGATCAAACCACCTGAGAAGTGAGCTCTAATTCTCTATGCTTTGCTCTTCCTAAAATAAAACAAATTATAATTTGATCCTTTAAGCAAGGGTATGAATGCTGGCATATTTACACAAAAGAGGCATAATAAGTTGCATCATTAGTGTCAAATGTTCACACAGTCCCTCTTCCCACAGTGGGATTCATAAGTTATTTTCTGGCCATTGCCCTTATCTAAAAAACTCAGTAATATCATTAGCTTACCTAGATCTTTAAACTGGACAGCCAGTATAATATTTAGTTAATGGAAAATAAAAATTTTTTGCTCAATTTAGATGATATGCTCACAAATGACTTACATTCAGCCAGAAGAATGGGGGTGGGAGGAGGGAATAGGATCATATCCCATGTAGCACAGTATTTAGAAAAGAGGTTGGGTTTAAGGAATAACACTCTCCCCAAAGTCTACATCACTATATGAAAGAAACTATATTTTGAAATATTATTCAATATGTATATATCAATGCATAATATATTTCCATACATATGTATGGAAATAATTATATATATTATTTTTGCATCAGTTTTGAAGATAATATTAGAAGCCCTCTTGGTTGTATATTCAAGCTATTTGGATACAGTATCTATAGTTTTTCTTATTTTTTTTTACCATGAGCTTCTGAAATAAGGTCTGCCTTGTGTGAAACTCAGCATGAAGCTAGGATGTGTTAGTCCTATCTCCTTGTCACTTAATACCTGGCTGACGCACCAACCCATGACTGATGAGTGAGTGCGTGACACCCAGTAGTGCTGGCATGAACTACCGCCTAAAAAAAGACAGCTGTGTCCCCTCCTTCCATTTGTTTTAGGATTTTTGCAATAAGATCTCTTCACCGAATGGTTTCAGCTACCCCTTTAAAAGTCACATTTTCCTACATGAGTTCTTTGCCTTTGGGGGTATGTTTTGCTGTATCAGCCCTTGCCTGACAAGGAAAAACATGAACTAGCTTATGTTTCACAGTCATCTTTCAAGTACTGGGGTGACTGAGTTAGCTACCTTTTTGTAGCCAGTTCTTGGCACCAGTACAATGCTAGGTTCTGAAGTTGTACCATACCCTTATGGCCATGCAAATTGCAGTGTTTTGATTCAGCTGGAAAATCAAGGTTACAGTTGGCGTTTACAGAATGAAGCTTCCCAGCAGTGTTTTGTGATGGCCATAGTGATGTAATTTGAAATATAAAATATCAACAATAGCTATTTTTCCTCAGCTTTACATTTTAGAATGAAAATGGTTAAGAGTTTTGGTGTACCTTTGTATTTTGAAAGCATGGGAGCCACATGGCCAAATGTGTCAGCTGTCAGTGTTTGCTTGACATACACAATAGGAGAACATTAAGAAATTGTCAGGTTAGGATGGGGGAAATGTTGACCAGGACATCAAACTGGGGTTTCTTGTTTTTGTTTTTTTAACACTATTTTTAAACTCTTTTAACAAGTGGAGGGACTATTTTAATATTCTAGGTATAGATGAAGTAGCTTTTCAACAGTGTTAATTCTAAGTGAAACAGAAGCCCTCTTTGTAAACACTTAAAACTAGACCCCGATTGTAAAAGCAGGGAAAAGAATGGACATGTTTACTAGGTTTATCAGGCACCATTAGATTAAAATGGATTAGAGCAGATTAAAACTTTTCCTCTTCTCTTTGTAGATGGCTCTGAGAGATTCCTCTGTGAATCCGTTTTCAGCTATCAAGTGGCATCTACGCTTAAACAGGTGAAACATGGTAAGCACATGAGTGTTGTGTACTTAACTATGAGAATAAATTTATTGGGGGGTGGGAGAGGGGGACTTAGAAAGGTCAGAGTGCTCTGTAACAAAAACTCAGCAAGGCTATTTAAGTGGACTTTCCAAATTACCTGCAGACAAGAACATTCTACGGTCTTAATCCAGACATAATGTCCACATTGAGGCTTAAAGTTGAAGTCAAAGGGGTTAGTTTTCTAGGGGAGTTAATGCTTCCTACTCCGCTTGTATTGCTTTTTCCTCTCCTTTCTGAAACCTTCTTTTACTGTTGTCCTCCATTGGTTACCATCATTATCTGCATCTTCGGGTATGTAATACCTCTTGGTCTAACTGGACTCTTAAGATCCTGGTAGCACCTTTTCTATTCCATCATCCCTCACCAGGTCTTCATTTATGCATCAGGGAACTCTGTTCACCCACCAGACCAGACCATTTCTCCATAGAGAGCATAATGTTGGGGGTGGGGGGGAAGCTGCAATTGCCTGTAACCCTAGGTTTTTAGTATACAAATCACAAATTTAGTACACAAATGGAATGGAGGATAAGTACTACTTTTTTTCCCTTTTTTTTAAGATTAAGTCTTCTGACCAACATAGGGTAAGACCCCATTACTAGAATCTTGAGGGGGAAATCCTTTTAGAAATTATTTTTAAATCAGCCATCATGTTGGTGGTTGATATATCATCTCCTTGATTCTTTACAGATCAGCAAGTTGCTCGGATGGAAAAACTAGCTGGTCTGGTAGAAGAGCTGGAGGCAGATGAGTGGCGATTTAAACCCATCGAGCAGCTGCTGGGGTTCACACCCTCTTCAAGTTGACCTTGCCTGGACAGTCACCTCTGGGGCACAGCAAGTGCAGGTGCAGTGAGGAAATTTTCTTACAGCTTACATAGCCATCCAGAGATTCACAGCTCCATCACTGAATTGTTAATTCACATCCATACTTGGTTTCTCTGTATCCAACCACAAGCAACAAATACTTAAATGTGTGATCTTACAAGGAAATTTTTTGTTTATTTGTTTAAAAAAGTATTGAGAATCAGATTTAGGCAACTGGCATCACAGAACCAGGAGGTCTGGGTTTAAGAGAGATTAATAAAACTTCACAAGCCAGGACACATGCCAGAATTGGCCAACAGAATGGCATCCCTCCTGTCAATTCATGCAGTTCCTAGAATCCTCACCAGTCAAGTCCGAGGTCAGGATCTGGAGTTATAAAATACAGCATTTCTTTTTTTTTTTTTTTTTTTTTTTTTTTTTTTTGCGGTATGCGGGCCTCTCACTGTTGTGGCCTCTCCCATTGCGCCGGACGCGCAGGCTCAGCGGCCATGGCTCACAGGCCCAGCCGTTCCGCAGCATGTGGGATCTTCCCGGACCGGGGCACAAACCCGTGTCCCCTGCATCAGCAGGCGGACTCCCAACCACTGCGCCACCAGGGAAGCCCAAAAAATACAGTGTTTCTGACCTAAAACCGTTCTTTTTGCAGATGAATGTGATTTCAACTCAGGACCTGTCCAAATTAGGAATTTTTTAATGTTTGGGATTTTTTTTCTATTTTTAGACATCTAATTCTATAGATTCTATCTTTTTCCAACCTCTAGGCATGCCAAATGCTGGCAAAAATAATTGCTTTTTTTTTTTTGTGGTACGCGGGCCTCTCCCGTTGTGGAGCACAGGCTCCAGACGCGCAGGCCCAAGCATCCATGGCTCACGGGCCCAGCCGCTCCACGGCATATGGGATCCTCCCGGACTGGGGCACAAACCCACGTCCCCTGCATTAGCAGGCAGACTCTTAACCACTGCACCACCAGGGAAGCCCAAAGAATTGCTTTTTGAATGTTGAAGTTCTGGTAAAAATAAAGCAGTGAGCAAAATCCTTTTAAACACAGAAATCCTGAGTTCATCTTGTTGGTGGGCTCAGGCAATTCTGTAGCAAATAAATCCTTTGAAAGAGCTCCAGATTGGTTTCTTTATCCTTTCAAAGCCTCAGGGATTTGGGATAGGGGAAAGAGGTCAAATTACTTTTTATAAGAAGGGAATGTAAAAACCATTTCTCCTAAGTAAATGGTAGATTTGCTTTCTCTCAGGGATATTTGTCTTTTTCGAAGTATATGAATTTATCATCAATATCTGAGTAGGTTTTTTACCATGAAAAGGAAAAACCTGGAAAGCTAAGAGGTGTCTTTTGTTTTCCCTCATGGGACCCCAGGGTCCACACTGCACAGTTAGGAGAATCATTTATTAAATTGTATGCAAATTTTGCCTCAGACAGCATTTGCCTTTCTCCTCATTAATAACTTGTACCTGACCTGCTTAGAGTTGGTTAATTATGAATAAATAAGATTCCAGTAGCAATTGGCCTTAATCTCAGGAGTTCAGAATGTTTTAACACATAGTATATAACAGGCAGGTGGTGACCTCATTGCGTCGAAAAGGAATCTGAGCACAGGGAAGTTAAAGACCTGCTCGTGGCCACGTAGCCCAGACAGAAGAAAATCTTGGCACTTGGAATAGATTGCAGTTGATTGACAATTCAGCCCACTAACCTTGTCTCTGAAGCACATCAGAACACAAAAATTACCAGTCCTCAAACTCACCTATTTCCATATTAATACTTCTTAACCTAAACTAGTTCCATATTTGAAAGCCATTGAGTTTCCTAACATTGTCCTTTTTGGCATCAACCATCTTTATGATTACCAAAGGAAAAATTTTAAATACGTAGTCTGCAATAAACCTTTAAATCATATTTTCAGTGACAGTTCAGAAGCAATCAGTAACTTTCTCTTATTTGATTTATGTAACTGTACAGCACAGACACTGTATTACCTCATCGTTACCCTTTGGTATTTGAACTTACAGAATTTTTTTCTCGGGCTTCCCTGGTGGCGCAGTGGTTAAGAATCCGCCTGCCAATGCAGGGGACACGGGTTCAAGCCCTGGTCCGGGAAGATCCCACATGCCGTGGAGCAACTAAGCCCGTGTGCCACAACTACTGAGCCCACGCGCCACATCTACTGAAGCCTGCGCACTCTAGAGCCTGTGCTCTGCAACAACAGAAGCTACCACAGTGAGAAGCCTGCGCACCACAATGAAGAGTAGCCCCTGCTCACGGCAACTAGAGAAAGCCTGTGCACAGCAACGAAGACCCAACACAGCCAAAACTAATAAATAAACAAAAATAATAAAATAAATAAATAAATACATTTATATTGTTTAGGGATTTTATAGCTTCATAGCTTTCCTTAATTTCTCCCAGATATACAATTACATTAGCATAGTTCATTAAAAAAAAAAAGAATTGTTTTCTCTTTAAGTTGGACATTTCCTTTTATGACCTTAGAAATTGAAGAGATCCTAGAGTTGAGCAGAAATACTTTCTGAAGCACCTTTCCCAGTGAAGATTCAGCTTCTACTTGAGTGCTGCCAGGAATGAGACCCTCACTATTTGAGGATGGCCCCTCCCTCTCTGCACCTTTCTGTTGGTCATTATGTCTCATCCACAACTCCTATTGCCATGTTTTGGGCTTGAAAATGGACCTGTTGTTGCTCATCTTTCATCCCCTCTGCACTCATTATGTGCCAGCCACTCACAGGCATTAATCATAATCCTTTCAGTAATGCTGTAAGATGTGTAACACCTCCTAATACAGAAGAGGAACTTGAAGCACAAAGCAGGCATTACTACATGCTAAGGCTGCATAGCTAAGTAAATGGCCAAGTCTGGATTTGAACTCAAAGTCTGCCAGACTCCAAAGCTAAGATTATTTTAGTTGAATCATGTGGCATCCCATTGAGCCCAACCCAGGGCCTCGTACAAAGGAAAATCCTAAAACCTTCTTTTTTCTTTTTAATGATAAAATGAATTAACTACCTGGAGGAAATAAGCCTTGCCACTACCCTCCCTTCTTCCAGTGCTTGTTGATAAAGAGTCTTAAGTACAATGAAGGCCTCTTTCTTTAAGAACTGATAGGAATTAGGGGCTTCCCTGGTGGCACAGAACCCACCTGCCAATGCAGGGGACACGGGTTCGAGCCCTGGTCCGGGAAGATCCCACATGCTGCAGAGCAACTAAGCCCATGTGCCAAAACTACTGAGCCTGCCCTCTAGAGCCCGCGCGCCACAACTACTGAAGCCCATGCACCTAGAGCCCGTGCTCTGCAACAGGAGAAGCCACTGCAATGAGAAGCCTGCACACCACAACAAAGAGTAGCCCCCGCTCACCGCAACTAGAGAAAGCCTGCACGCAGCAACGAAGACAAAACACAGCCAAAAATAAAAATAAATAAATTTATTTTAAAAAAAACAGATAGGAATTAGCTATATGTTAGTATCTACCTAACCTTTTAAGATTCAGTATGATGAAATGTAGTTAGATGCTTAAGGGGTACCTACCCAAGTGAGCAAGGAGGAAGGCAAGAGGGCTGATGGCAGCTAACGACCAGGACTGCACAGACAGCCATCCTAAGAGAACGGATGGTAACGGTGCCTCAGTGCACAAAACACTTTGCAGCTTCTAAAGCATTTTCATATATGTCGTGTCTTTAGTCCCTCATCAACGCTGTGAGATAAATGAGGCAGGTAGTTTACAGTTGAAGAAACCAGTACAGAGAAGGTAAGGTACCAAGATTATTATCCAAATTATAGTTAATAATATAGGCCTTTCAAATCTTTGTCTCTGTGCCTTCTAGTTCATCATATACTAGAAAATCTGAAGGTAGAACTTGCTGTTAATAAAGAATTGTTCATGTTGGTTTGATACATAATTCCATATAAGTGTTTTGTCTCATGGTAATGATACATAAATAGTAAACTTAAATAAAGCTGGTTTGGGGACTTCCCTGGTTGGTCCAGTGGTTAAGACTCCACGCTCCCAATGTAGGGGCCCCGGGTTCGATCCCTGGTCAGGGAACTAGATCCTGCATGCTGCAACTCCAGATCCCGCATGCCACAACTAAGACCCAGCACAGCCAAATAAATAAATAAATATTTTTTAAAAAATAAATAAATCTGGCTTTACTTTTATGTAGTCAAAAATCTTACTTTCTGACTTTATCCAGGATCAGCATTAAAGTCCTCAGTTTTCACTGATAAGCTTTAATGTGTTAGTTATCAGTGCCATCGCATGGCTGATACTGACCTGGAATGACAGTGGTCTGGAACTCTAAATCACGTTCCTGACCCTGGGACCTCTCTGCTCTGTCCATTTGCTTGCAGCCTGTGGCTTCCCTTCCCCCAAATGGTTGGGAGGCTTTGAATCTCTTGTTCCCCATCAGAACACCAGACACTGAAGTGGTAGAAACTTTGGACCTTAAGGCCAAACCAAAGGTAGAAGAAAGGAGATAGGACCAGGGGATGCCTATCATCCACAACAAAGAGGAGGAACCTGCCCAAGGATGTGGTTCCCTTTCAGGCAAACCCAAGAGATACTACACTTGGAGGAGAAGGCCATTCTGCCTCTCCCTCTCCTTTTGCCAAAGCACCTAACTTTGCCTAAAATACCTTGCCTGGCCTCCTTGTAATTGCCCAAAGTTCCAACCAAGACAGATCCTTTCCACAAAAGAGAAAAGGCTTAACTGACAGATACATGGGAAAGTTTTGGGTTGCAGGCAGAGTACAGATGATACCAGATCTTCTCCTGTTTCCCAGAGCTGAGTTTGGGATGGAGATGGCACCAAGGGTGGAGAAGAGTGGGAGAAGGAGGCGGGAGCAGGATGCTTCGCCACCAGCCTGCCTTGTTAATTTGCATCTGGTCAAAGAGGGAGTCTGAGAATTTTAGAGCTGAATAGAACAGACCTTAGAGATCATCTAGTTCATCCCCCTGGTTGACAAATAGGACGTTGGGACCCTGTCTGTGTCATTCATTGCTGTATATTCAGTACCTAGAACACTACCTGGCACATAGTAGGTGTGCTACAGGTATTTACTGAGTGAATGAATTTGTTGCATGTTTACCCTGTTTTAGAAGCTGTGCTAGCTACTTACAGTGCAGCATCCAGAGTGGAGAAAAGCCT